GAAGAACATTACATTGTATTTAGCTTTAGGTTACATTTTAACAGAGCCAGGAGCGCAACCTCACTCCTTGAGCTTTCGATCCAGACTCCCCCCCGCCCACAGTCAGCCCAAGGCTATAGAACTCCAGGTAAGGACACCAGCCGTTTGACCTTGAACGCCGCCGGCCGGCCGATGACGTCATTGGAGGCAAGCCGGCTCGGCGGACACACAAGGCGAATGCATAACGGAGGGGCGTTGGAGCGTTGCGGGAGCCGGGGAGATATTTTAATGTGGTTGCATACCACCATTGTTATGTTGATTGATCTACAGACTGCATTCTTTTAAACCTCGATGCATCCTAGGCCTGGATGGTGCGTACATTCGTGGAACGATCACCCCGTCCGACGTCCGTGGTCGAAGCTGTCGTAGTATTAAAGACATTAGACGGGTGCAATAACGGCGATCCGATCCCGTCTCTGGCGAATGTAAAGGGGTCGTAAGGACCCAGGCCGAATCTGACCGTCTATTTTTAGGGAAACGGGGTGGGTGAATTGACAACCGATGGCTTAACCCTCGCCGGCCGAGGGGGGGGGGGCGGGTGCCGCCCCCCCCCATAGGGTTTTTTTTTCGCAATAGCTCCAAACACGCTGGCGATAGAGAGCTGAAACTTGGCATACCTGACCTTTGATCCAAGCCGCATCTTTTGACACCAACCGCATTTTTGGGTCAGGTCAGGTCACTGACCTATGACGTCATAAGTGAACCTCTGCACGGTCTTCAGATGTCGCAACTTCGCAACGCCCTCACTGCCAGAGGAGATGTCACAGGGAAATGAAACTTGCAGGATCTAGTATCCATTATGAGTCCCACAACTTGTATATCTCGGATTTTTCCTAAAGGTCATATGAGGTCAGGTCATTTTCGTGACCTCACCATTATAAGTCAATGGGGAAAAATTCAAACTGCTATTCTGGCGCCGGGAACGATCTCCAACTATCTCAAGCACACAGAATCGTGATTTTATGCACTCCTTGCAAGGTTAGATGCGTCACTTTTGCAATGTTGACCTTGCGTGACGTCATTTATGACGTCATCAAGGTCATATTAGTTTTTCGTCAATAACTCTTGATCAAATTGAGCTAGCGAGTCGGAAAAGCCACCAATGGACTCAGGAAGACCTGCCGAATCGAATGATATCGACATGACCCCTTTCAACCAACTTCGTGACCTGGGGGTGCTGACCTGACCTGGACCTGAGGTCAACACCCCAAGTTGACCTGACCCGGACAAAAAGCATATCATTCGACGCGCCTGAGCGAGACGAACACGATGCTGCCAAAATCGGCGCTCTGCGGCCGTTTTTTGCGAAGTTATTCACCAAAAACGGAACCGTACCTTGGGGCACTTGACCTGACCTCAGAGGTCACCGGTTGACCTAGGACCTTAAAATCGGGTACCAATCTCTGCGTCTCGTAACGGCGCACACGCTCGTATTTTCCGCGACGCGCTAGCTCCACCAGGGGCGAAACGGCGAGGGGGGGTCGTACCCGCCCCCCCCCCCTCGGCCGGCGCGTATGTAGAAAACCAATAGGTCCGGCCACAGTGTATATAAATACAGTGGCGGCAAATGCGCTTGGTCACGTGACCAAATCTGCACGTGCGGTTGTGGCGAGGGCACTTCCCGAAACTCTGGTGCCAACGGCCTCGCGGCGCCCATAGAGAATACATGGGACCTTTTCTTTTCAGACATATCGTGTCTAAACCAAGCCATTTAGTGCAAGGATACGACTGGTTTGAGATTCAGTAGTCTTTTGGCTACAAGTTGGCATAAGAAACGTATTTTTATCGGCAAAATTCGCAAAGTACCAGGTGGTTTTCCGATACCCTGCACGCCTCCTTACCCCCGGCGGCCGACCGGAGGAGTCAGTAGCGCTCCACTCACGACTTTTGGCGATAGCTCAAAACACCTTACAGCTAGAGGGCTGCTATTTGGCACACCTTATCTTTGCTTCCATACGCATCTTTGGAAACCAATTGCATTTCCGTCTCAGGTCAGGTCACTGACTTATGACGTCACACGTGAACCTCTGCAATAGTCCCAAAATACCGAAACTTCGCAATGCCCTCGGTGCCAGAGGAGCTGTCACAGCGAGATGATACTTACAGGACCTAGTATCCTCTAGGAGTCTCAAAACTTGTATATCTCAGATTTCTCCTAGAGGTCACATGAGGTCAGGCCGATCGCGCGACGTCACCATTACAAGTCAATGGGGAAAATATGGAATCTGTAATTTTGACGCCGAGAATGATCTAAACCTAGCTCAAGCACATGGAATCGCAATTTCATGCAATTCTTGCAATGTCCAATGCTTCACTTTTGCATCTTTAACCTCGCGTGACGTCATTCATGACGTCACAAATGTCACAAGTTTTTTCGTCAATAACTCCTGATAAAATTGAGCTGGCAAGTCGGAAAAGTCGCCAATAGACTCGGAAAGACCTACCGAATCGAATGATGTGCGATATAACCTCCTCCGACCAAGTTCGTGACCTGAGTGCCTCTGACCTGGCTTTGATCCGATGTGAACACCTTATGTTGACCCCACCCAAACAAAAGTGTACCATTTTGACGCACCGGAGCATGACAAACATGATGGTACTAAAATAGCGACTCTGCGCCGTTTTTTGACAAAGTTATTTTTCAAAACCCGAAATCGTATTTTGGCCCTCGGGGCACTTGACCTGACCCTCAGAGGGCATCAGTTGACCTGAGACTTTTAAACCGTGCATCAATCGCTGCGTCCCCGGTCCCGTAACGGCACACATGCTCGTTTTTCCCGCGAGGCTAGCTCAATTAAGGCGAGGGAGTCGTACCCGCCCACTCTCGCGGCTGGGGCGTAGGTATGTAAAAAAAAACTAAGAAGTCTGGTGATGATTGATGCAAGATTCTTACAAATAATGGTAGATGAAGGTAGGGCATCAGTTATTAAAGATAGGTAAAAAACAAATTTGCAGCCCTCAGTAGCATTGATTTATGCATTAAGAGTTATAGAACCATAGGCGGCGGAACGGGGAGGGCACCGGGGCACCGTGCCCCCTATAATTTTGGCATTTTAACATTAGCCCTATGGGCGTTGCATGGATAGAATCGGACCGAAAGTCGGCAGTGCCCCACCCCCCTTAATTGAAGGTGTTCCGCCGCTACTGCATAGAACAACTGTAAGCTGGAGGCTCAGCTTTTCAGTTTCTACCTATGCCCGCAAACACAATAAAATCAATGGAAGAGTAATAATAGATTAATTGCATTTTATTGATGCTATTCAAGTATCAATGGTAACTATGTCACCGATGATTCAATATTATTTGCACGGTATCATTTACCACCACACGCCTAAATATTTAGTATCTAAAATAATGCAGTAAAATAAGCTGCGCCACGTCTGTCGACAAAATCTGGTGCCAACTCAAGGTCACACGGAAAATGTGGTCACGTGACCAATGTCCGGCAGCTGGGTCCGGCGAGGGTTAAGAGATGATGAGAAGGGATCCAGTCGTCGATTGTCGTTTGACAGACAACACATGTTGTACTGGGCGTATGACCATCAGAGGTAATGCCTGAACGAAGGCAAGCATAATTGGTCTGTCATACTGTTTAGGAATATAAAATGGTAATGGAGATCATTGAGGATATGATCTCTATATTACGGGAATTCACTAATTACTACGGCCGCCGGAGCTGTTGTTTTGCCATCGGTCCCAGGCAACTACAGGGAGCTGCAGTACCCGGCGGCCGCGGCCACCTCGCCGACTCGCAGGTCCTGTGGGATTCCGTGATGCTTTAGTGCTTCACCCACAGAAGCACGGGCATAGCAGTAGGATGTGGGGCTAGGTGTCTGTCCACCTCTTCATTGAAAGAACAACGTATACAGCGCCTGGTCCCGCCGAAGCTCGGTATCGACCGTGACTTATTCACAACTGGCGGATCCAGGAAGCGGTCTTGGACACTGCGGGGGCTTACCCCAAAAAGGTTTCTCGAAATTAATTTTAAAAAACTCGGATTTCGGTTCCTTGCGCATTGCTGTGCAGTGTGATTAGCCAACATTTCCTCAGAAAAGTTGTGAAGTTTTCTTTTATTCTCGAAAAGCGATTTCGGGCGCTGCCCTCAGCCCTGGTTGTGGGGGAAGACATTGGCCCCAAATGCCTTCCCCTGGATCCGCCAGTGGGCTGCCCCACTCCGAGCTTGACTAAAAACGTCTTCAAACCCCACCAGAAACCGATGGTAAGGTGAATTTAAATCCAATAACTCATCTCTGTCTGCCCGCCTAAATATACTACACATGGTACGGCGCCCGGCCCTGTCGGGGCTATGAGCCGATCGTGATATTTTCGGCTTTCCCCATCCCAAGCTCGATTAGAAACGTTCTCCTTCCCCACCCGATTGCTGATGTCAATTCAAATTCAATACCTCATCTCTGTCTGCCCGACCATAACCCACCCTCACCGTGCATAACCCATTCATTGCACACCGTTCAGCGCCCGGCCCCGCCAGAAGCACGGTGACTGCCAGAAGTATCCTAGCGCGCTGAGCTGTTGCCTCCAGCCGCGTCATCGCGAGGCCCCGCGCGGCCCATAAATGAATACATTGCGCGAATAGCCGTGTCGCCCCCCTGAGTCAGCCGAACACCTGGCCGTGATCAGCTGAATGGGCGAAAACATAGTGCACCTTGAGATGCTCCGATCGCGGCATCCGCTATATAAAACACTTTACTAATTGGTCAGTAAAGCCTCTAAGCATGAACAAGAGTGTTTAACATTCTAATAATATGCTGTACATAATAAAACATTTAATTGCATTATCTAGGACAGCTTCGAGTTCATACCTGAAGCAACAATTGAATAGCAGACGATCACGCGCAAAACCGTTGAATTAAATTCCTGTCCAGACATCATATGGTCACCGGGCTCCTCTCGCCGGTGAAACAGTTAAACTTTAATCGGCGCAAAGCTTGTCGATTACAGAAACATGGATTCAGATGTAACTGACAGTGAAGAAAACAGCGATTTGCCTTCCCAAGAGCTGGCAGATAGAGTGGCGGAATGCGTTCCAGCGAACACAAGAAAGACGACGGAATGGGCTGTAACAACGTATAGACGATGGGCGCAGCGCAGACCAAATGTTCGCTACGTCAAAGAAGACCTCCTTGCATACCGAAACGACCTACAGGCATTGGACCAGAGCCTGTATAAATTTTTCAGTGAGGTCCACACTACCGGCGGCCCTGGCTTTACGCCAAGTTCCCTTCAAGTACTGCGAGCGGGCCTGCAGAGATACATGTCAGAGCACGACCCAGACATGCCACTGATGTCGGCTGATTCTACATTCCGGCGCTCCAACGCAGCATTCAAGGCTGCTAAGAGACGCTACGCCCTAGATGGCACGAATCGTGCTGCAAACCAAATGAAGCAGCCATTGGACCCGGCGGATCAAGAGCTAGTAAGGAGGTACTTCGCCACTCCTGAGACGTACATCAATCCCACGATCCTGCAGCAATATGTGTACTACATGCTCTCCATGACGTTCGGCTACAGGGGTCGGGAAGTATGGCGTCAGCTCCGCAAGGACAGCTTTGTGGAGGAGCGCGACCAGCATGGCAAGCTCCGATACGTCATCGACCAAGCTATCATGGAAAAGAACTACCAACACACGGGGCCCAATGCGACCTGTCGCAGAGCTACACAAATCACAGATGACGTAGAAGCTGGAGTTTACATGTTTTCTACTCTCAAACTGTACCTGTCGAAACTCCATCCAGAGCAGGATGCTTTCTTGCAGAAGGCAAAGAATGATCGCCAGATGGCTGTTGAGCCAGACGCTGCGTGCTGGTATGTGAACGCACCACTCGGTAAACATACCATTGATCAGCTGATGCCAAGAATCAGCGCCGCAGCGGGGACATCAAGACGGTACACAAATCACTGTGTGCGTCACACCCTCGGCACCAACATGCTACGGCTGGGGTACCCGATCACAGTCATACAGGCGCGGCTTCGACTGAGATCGTCAATGACACTACAGTGGTACACGGGCCATCGCACGGCAGAAGAACTGCAGGACGAGACCCGCGCTATCACCCGGCCACTGCGCGGGGTGGCGCCGCCACAGACCGAGGCTGGAGATGGTGCAGTGGCAGGACCGTCCTCAGCTCCCCAGTACGTGGCGCCGCCGGCCAGTGGCCCTGAAGCGTCAAAGGAGACGTCCAAAGAAGCCCCAGTATCTGTACCTGCGGGTTCACGACGTGATCATCCGCCACAGCATGTAGCGCCACGCACCGTGACCGACGCACGTGCACCGCGCCTTCCGCCAGGTGCTGGCATTGAGCGCTGGGATGCTCCCGTAGGGGTTGTGCCACTGCACCAAGCGGATGTAACAAGACCACCGCCGCCTCTGCCGCTCTGGGCCAGAGGTGACGCGACGCCGAAGGTGTATTCTGGAGTGTTCCACAACTGTGTCTTCCATTAGTTGGGCGCAATGATGTTCGCGCCCGTGAAAGTCCGAAAATTATTTGATGTGCAGCCTACTCAATGGTACAGCCTGTTATTTCTTTGTGTCTTTGTGTGTAAAACCGAGTGTGTCGCAAGCCAATAAAGTTGGTTCTTTTCTTAAAGGGACCCTCCCACCTTAACATTACATTTGAGTTGAGATAGCCAAAATGGGGTCCCTGGCTCACAATTACCGGTTTCGGCACTCACAACATCGAGAAATCCCTTAAATCGGAAATATTGAATTTCAAAATTGCAGCATTTTGATTCAGAGGGGCTAATGCATAGGAATACCCCTCTGAATGTGTGACGTCAGCGCAGATATCTAACGATTTTTAAATGTTTGACTAAAACGTTTTGTAGCACGCGGTGGTATATACTGCTTTGCGCGCAACATCTGCCGCGAACGCCGCACTTCCGAAATGAAGTCGCTAGGAACAGCGGAGATCCAGAAAAAAGTAAACAAAAGTAAAAGTCTAATATCTTGAAAACCGGTGAATATTCTTCGGTGAAATTTGGTACATATTCGTTTTTGCTCTTTCTGAATCGAGCGACATCACTTCCATGCTAATTCATTAACTTTTTTGAAGGTGGGAGGGTCCCTTTAATATTGATTTTATTCCAGATGTTTTTTATGTTTTATGGGTACAGTTAATTCGATGACACTTCATTTGACTAATATTGTTATTAACATTGTTACCCCCAAAAGAAAACCAAGCCCCGTTTCAGGGTACAGTACAATGGGTACAGTTAATTCGATGACACTTCATTTGACTAATATTGTTATTAACATTGTTACCCCCAAAAGAAAACCAAACCCCGTTTCTTTTCTTTATCCCCCCAAAAAAGCCCTTTTACACAGACGAGCTGAGCGACGAACGGCGCAAAGTCGGTATAATAAATATAACCGGATCGCCTCCTCGGTACACCAGGCATTATTCGGTGTGCCTTGCCAAGGGTGCTTATATTTAATGCACTCGCAGGCTCGTGCATTAAATACAAAAATAACACTCATTTCATTCGAGTTATTTTTGAAAATATTAACCTCACTTCGTTCGGTTAATATTTTAGGAAAAATAATGCCCTCACTCCGTTCGGGCATTATTCAAAACACCCTTGGGTAGGCACACCGAATAATACCTGGTATTGTAATGGGATAAACAATGGGAACTATTTTGAATTATATTCTTTTGAATTGGCTACACATGTGTTTCGACAAAATGTATTTTTCAAGCCTTACATCCCAAATCATACCAATTCAAAAACATTGGCCTAAATACACTTTACACAGGTGAATAAGGTCACAAAACAGATAGTAAATTCGTTCGCAGAAACATGTCTCAACTACTTGGCTCTACTACTTGTAAGGGATCTACATTACTACACGGCTCAACTACTTGTAAGGGATCTGGCAAACAGGGGTACGACATATAATGCGACATGTTTCTGCGAACGAATTTACTATCTGTTTTGTGACCTTATTCACCTGTGTAAAGTGTATTTAGGCCAATGTTTTTTAATTGTTATCATTTGGGATGTAAGGCTTGAAAAAGACATTTTGTCGAAACACATGTGTAGCCAATTCAAAAGAATATAATTCAAAATAGTTCCCATTGTTTATCCCATTACAATACCTACTACTTGTCCTAAGCTCTTATCAATTATGTCGGGATACAATGGAGAAACGAATATTTATACTCAATTCGAATTAAAAGATAAAGTGAATAAAGCACAAAACAGGTTGGGATTCTTACTAGATTGTCTACAAGAACAAGTCCTGCCGCGATCAGCACCAAAGCAGCTAAAGAAGAACTCTCATCCATTTCCTGACAGCGCTAGAGCGTACTTAGAAGATGCTATTCGAAGCCTGCAGGATTTCCGCAATGTTCTTCAAAGTAGACTAAGTGACGTCCACTTACCACACCACTTGGTGACAAGACTTAAACAGCAGCAAACTGATCATCGGGAACATTTGAAATGTCAGCTTAAACAGCTATGCGATTCCAGCAGCTGGAAGAACATTGGTGACCGTGACTTGCTTATCAACTTATCTGATCGTCAGCTCTCAGAAACAGAATCGGAAGCATTATCGTTAGGTTTGAGGTTTGCAATAGGCTCAGACAGGCGTCCTCTAGTCGAAACCATTATGAAAAACTACAAATACAAGGACTCTGATATAGACAAGGGCAGGGGTGTCGATTTTTCAAAATGGTTGGGGGTGCTCAACCCCTGCACCGGGTGACAGATTGCAGCTTTGCCATGCGGCACAACCGTACAAGGCGGGGTTGGTTATCCCCATAAGGTACTGATAATGCCGGGATTTCTATATACTAACATTTCCCAAGGGCAGAACGTTCTTCTTGAAAATCATTCTGCTCGTCCTAGTACTTGGCTACCTGATTACATAAACATCTTTCCGAAAAAAAATATTTGCCGGCAGCATGGCAGCAGCCCCGACACCTCTGTAATAAGGTGACAGAAACCAATGACGGTGATTAGCACCGGTGCAGCAGCCGCTGCGGTCCGCAGGGGCGGACATTGCGCGGAGGCAACGGTAGCTACGAGGCTCTGGCGGTTATCAGACGATTCCAATATCGATGAAAAATGACAGGTGATCGCATTTGGATATTTACGGGTTTATGATTTTCCCCAGTGGCGTAGCCAGGTGGGCCGTGAGGCACGTGCCCCCCCCCCATCAGGTTCGGGCCTCAGGGTCCCCTCGGGTTATTCGGGCCTGAGGGGCCCTGAGGCGCCAATTGGCCGCTAAGGGTCAATGCTGGCCATATTTGGACATAGAAGGGATCCACGGGGCTCGTAAAAACCCCTCATGGGCCCACAAGTACCAACACTAAGATCTCCACAAGGGCCCCAAGCCAGTCTCTGAGGGCCACTTGGCGGCCTCTGAGGTCCCCTTACCGGCTTCGGAGGGCCACATGTCGGACTATGGGGGTCTTAACCGGCCTATTCCCAGCCAGCAAATTTGGTCCTGGCCGTAGCTGGTCTTACTCTGGCTAGCTCCGGCATTTGCTCCGGCTAAAGTACGGGCAAGGTCTGGGGCTCTACTGGAGCTGACACACGATACCGGAGCTCGCCCGCATCACAGCCGGACTTATGCCGCATCAGCCGTGCCGTACCTCCACCGTCCTTCAGCCACAGTAAGCCAGAGCAGCTATGAGGTGCAGCCGGACCTGGTCGTAGGGAGCCGGACTTGAGCCATGGCAGGGAGTCTGACTTGAGCCAGACTTGGCGGTTCGGAACCATAACAACCCGGGAGCGCTACGGCATATACTGGCTAGCCGGAATAGAGCCGTATCGACCCAAACCCCGGATCTGACGGCGATACCCTCGTCAGTTACCAGCGACCCTGACGGTCCCACACAGGTGACTCGGAGGGTCACAGCGGCGTCTGAAAGCACCATGTCCGGTCTCTGAGAACCCCACAAGGCTCCTGAAGGCACCGGTGACCTCTTGATATCTTCTTGTCGGCCTATGAAGGGTCCGTTCCGTAACAGCAGTTCTGAGGGCCACACGCGCGCCTGTGATGGCCCTAAACCAGTGTCTCTGAGAGCCCCCACAACGGCGCCTGTGAGGGCCATCACCGGCAACTGTGGAGCACCTACACCGGCGTCTCCGAGGGCCATACATTGCCATATCTGAGGGCTCCGCACTAGTGCCTCTTAACCCTCGCCCGTATAGGGGGGGGGTCGAACGGACCCCCCCCATGGTTTTTCGCGAATAACTCGCGTAAAAAGCGGCCGATCGCGACGAAACTTTCAGTACCCTCGCGTTGATCAATTTTACACCCACCCTGAAAATTTCATGACCCTGACCCCAATGACCTTTGACCTGTGACCTACTTTTCGAGACCATGTTTGGCCGGAATCGCGATTCGGCGTATGTCGGCTCGCATTAGCCGCGCGTTTGCGGTCTTTTCGTGGTTTCAAGCGTTCAAACATGTGATATGATGTTGCCCCCATGCATTAGGGTGGGTGTCAAGGTCATCTGAAGGTCAGGTCAGGTCATTGACCTTTGGTGACCTCGGTTCACTTTTTCGAGTTTTACATGTTTCTAGGCCAGTTTTTTAGCTGAATTCGAATTTAGTAACCATATGAACGTTTACGAAGTAGTTTTGGTACCTTCGTAACATGTTACGAAGCTGTCAGAGGCGGTTGACACCTACTAGGAATACCCGGCAGGACCCCTACTGGTTGACCTGACCTGACCTGACCCGACCTGGACTAAATGCATAAAGACATCATCTGTGATCAAAACTAACATGATATTCGTGATCGGCGCCCCGAAAACCCCCATAGCAGCCACACTTTACGACGTTTTAACAGGTCCCGATTTTCCCGACTTTTGGGTCATTGACCTGACCTGCAAGGTCAACCAATGACCTAGGACCTTAAAATTAGGTATCATCGGCTTCCTCTCGTGACGGGCAACACGCTCGTTTTTTTCCGCGAAGCTCTAGCTCGATCAGGGGCGAAACGGCAAGGGGGGGTCAAACGGACCCCCCCCCCCCCCTTATACGTTCGCGGCTGGAAAAACACCAATACGGGCGAGGGTTAAGGCCCTATATCGGCGGCTCTGAGTGCCCAACACCGTCGCTTCTGAAGGCCCCACAAGCAGGGATGCGGAGCCGGAGCCGGAGCTGGAGCCGGAGCCGCCGGAGCCGGTATATTTTGCCCGGAGCCGGAGCCGGAGCCGGAGCCGTGAAACAACACAGCCCGGAGAGGGAGCCGGAGCCGGAGCCGTCAAAAAAGGGGCGACTCCGGCTCCGAGGAAAAAAATATTGACCTAACTCGGTTTGACAGTACAAAGCAGTAAAACATGTGGTATTCCAAATATCCTTGTTATGCAAATACAGAAACAACGTGTGCCAATCCAATCGCCTTTTTTCTTCCACCCGTATTTAATTAATCGCATAGGGAATGTACTGGGTAGGAGCCGGAGCCGGAGCCGCCGGAGCCGGACCATTTTACTCGGAGCCGGAGCCGGAGCCGGAGCCGTATTGACATTTCACCCGGAGCCGGAGCCGGAGCTGGAGCCGATTTTTTCTCCGGAGCCGGAGCCGGAGCCGTCTGAAATTTC